GGTCTTGCTGGGGTAGGGTCGTGCTGGGGCGTGGTCGTGCTGGGGCGTGGTCGTGCTGGGGCGTGGTCGTGCTGGGGTGTGGTCGTGCTGTGGTGAGGTCGAGCTGGGGTGTGGTCGTGCTGGGGTGTGGTGAAGTCGGGATTTCAAAAACAAGCGTTTCGCTCGAGACATCCTCAAATTTTAATTCGCCGGCCTCAAAAACAAGCGTTTCGCTCGAGACATCCTCAAATTTTAATTCGCCGGCACGTTATTTATCATGGAAAAAATTCGCCGGCAATTCGCCGGCTCGTTATTTATCAGGGAAAAAATTCGCCGGCAATTCGCCGGCTCGTTATTTATCAGGGAAAAAATTCGCCGGCCTCCTTCAAGCAGGCACCGGGGGACAGGTTTACCTAGTAAAAGAGAACCCTGGGCTTAAGCCCTTTCCGGGAAACAAGCGTTTCGCTCGAGACATCCTCAAATTTTAATTCGCCGGCGCTCAAAAACAAGCGTTGCTGGGGTGTGGGTCGTGCTGGGGTGTGGTCGTGCTGGGTGGGGTCGTGCTTGGGTGTAGGTCGGCTGGTGTGTGGTCGTTCTGGGTGTGATCGTGCTGGGGGTGTGGTCGGCTGGGCGTGTCGGCTGGGGTTGGGTCGTGCTGGGGTGGGTCGGCTGTGGTGGGTCGTGCTGGGTTGTGGTCGTGCTGGGTGTGGTCTTGCTGGGGTGGTTTCGCTCAAGACATCCTCAAATTTTAATTCGCCGGCTCGTTATTTATCATGGAAAAAATTCGCCGGCAATTCGCCTGCTCGTTATTTACCAGGGAAAAAATTCGCCGGCAATTCGCCGGCTCGTTATTTATCAGGGAAAAAATTCGCCGGCCTCCTTCAAGCAGGCACCGGGGGACAGGTTTACCTAGTACAAAGAGAACCCTGGGCTCTTGCCCTTTCCGGGAAAAAATGAAGGTCCAAGGACCGACCACAGCGATTTTCAAAACGAAATGGCGCTTAAAACAACATGATGGACCCACGAACCCGGAAAGGGATATAGACATGTGGAGCATGGGCACGTTTTCACGATACCCAACGGGGCAACACCTCACGAAACATCCCACGAGACACCTCACGAAACATCCCACGAGACACCTCACGAAACATTCCGCGAGACACCTCACGAAACATTCCAGGAGACACCCCGCGAAACATTCCACGAGACACCCCACGAAACATTCCACGACGACAGGCAACCACTCAACCAAGGCGGTGTGGTCGTGCTGGGGAGTGGTCGTGCTGGGGAGTGGTCGTGCTGGGGGGTGGTCGTGCTGGGGCGTGGTCATGCTGGGGGGGTGGTCGTGCTGGGGTGTGGTTGTGCTGGGGCGTGGTCGTGCTGGGGCGTGGTCGTGCTGGGGCGTGGTCGTGCTGGGGTGTGGTCGTGCTGTGGTGAGGTCGTGCTGGGGTGTGGTCGTGCTGGGGTGTGGTCTTGCTAGGGTGGGGTCGTGCTGGGGTGGGGTCGTGCTGGGGTGGGGTCGTGCTGGGGTGTGGTCGTGCTGGGGTGTGGTCGTGCTGGGGTGTGGTCGTGCTGGGGTGTGGTCGTGCTGGGGTGTGGTCGTGCTGGGGAGTGGTCGTGCTGGGGTGTGGTCGTGCTGGGGCGTGGTCGTGCTGGGGGGTGGTCGTGCTGGGGGTGTGGTCGTGCTGGGAGGTGGTCGTGCTGGGGCGTGGTCGTGCTGGGGCGTGGTCGTGCTGGGGCGTGGTCGTGCTGGGGTGGGGTCGTGCTGGGGTGTGGTCGTGCTGGGGTGTGGTCGTGCTGGGGTGTGGTCTTGCTGGGGTAGGGTCGTGCTGGGGTCGGGTCGTGCTGGGGTGTGGTCGTGCTGGGGTATGGTCGTGCTGGGGTGGGGTCGTGCTGGGGTGGGGTCGTGCTGGGGGGTGGTCGTGCTGGGGGAGTGGTCGTGCTGGGAGGTGGTCCTCAGAATTCTATAACACAAAACAAACGTTTCGCTCGAGACATCCTCACCATTTTCTGAAAAACAAGCGTTCCGCTCGAGACATCCTCAAATTTTAATTCGCCGGCTCGTTATTTATCATGGAAAAAATTCGCCGGCAATTCGCCGGCTCGTTATTTACCAGGGAAAAAATTCGCCGGCAATTCGCCGGCTCGTTATTTATCAGGGAAAAAATTCGCCGGCCTCCTTCAAGCAGGCACCGGGGGACAGGTTTACCTAGTACAAAGAGAACCCTGGGCTCTTGCCCTTTCCGGGAAAAAACGAGACGAAACCCAAAGCTTGAAAAACATGATGGACCCACGAACCCGGAAAGGGATATAGACATGTGCAGCATGGTCACGTTTTCACGATATCCAACTGGGCGACACCTCACGAAACATCCCACGAGACACCCCGCGAAACATCCCAGGAGACACCTCACGAAACAACCCACGAGACACCTCACGAAACATTCCACGAGACACCCCGTGAAACATTCCACGAGACACCCCACGAACAGGCAACCACTCAACCAGACACCCCACGAAACATTCCACGGGGGTGCGACTGGGTGTGGTCGTGCTGGGGTGTGGTCGTGCTGGAGTATGGTCGTGTTGGGGTGTGGTCGTGCTGGGGTGTGGTCGTGCTGGGGTGTGGTCGTGCTGGGGTGTGGTCGTGCTGGGGGGGTGGTCGTGCTGGGGTGTGGTCGTGCTGGGGCGTGGTCGTGCTGGGGCGGTGTGCTGGGGCGTGGTCGTGCTGGGGCGTGGTCGTGCTGGGGCGTGGTCGTGCTGGGGTGTGGTCGTGCTGTGGTGAGGTCGTGCTGGGGTGTGGTCGTGCTGGGGTGTGGTCTTGCTGGGGTAGGGTCGTGCTGGGGTCGGGTCGTGCTGGGGTGTGGTCGTGCTGGGGTATGGTCGTGCTGGGGTGGGGTCGTGCTGGGGTGGGGTCGTGCTGGGGTCTGGTCGTGCTGGGGTGTGGTCGTGCTGGGGTATGGTCGTGCTAGGGTGGGGCTCGTGCTGGGGTGGGTCGTGCTGGGGTGTGGTCGTGCTGGGGTGTGGTCGTGCTGGGGCGTGGTCGTGCTGGGGTGGGGTCGTGCTGGGGTCGTGCTGGGGTGTCCGCACCCGATGCGTGGGGTGTGGTCGTGCTGGTGCGATCGGGTCGTGCTGGGGTGTGGTCGTGCTGGGGTGTGGTCGTGCTGGGGAGTGTTCGTGCTGGGGTGTGGTCGTGCTGGGGGGTGGTCGTGCTGGGGGGTGGTCGTGCTGGGGGGGTGGTCGTGCTGGGGGGTGGTCGTGCTGGGGCGTGGTCGTGCTGGGGCGTGGTCGTGCTGGGGCGTGGTCGTGCTGGGGTGTGGTCGTGCTGTGGTGAGGTCGTGCTGGGGTGTGGTCGTGCTGGGGTGTGGTCTTGCTGGGGTAGGGTCGTGCTGGGGTCGGGTCGTGCTGGGGTGTGGTCGTGCTGGGGTATGGTCGTGCTGGGGTGGGGTCGTGCTGGGGTGGGGTCGTGCTGGGGTCTGGTCGTGCTGGGGTGTGGTCGTGCTGGGGTATGGTCGTGCTAGGGTGGGGTCGTGCATTTCGCTCGAGACATCCTGCCAAAATTCCAGGAAATCGTACAAAAACAAAGGAATTAGTCGAGACATCATCGAAATTCCTTCGCGCGGGGCGCTTTTCCGCGTCGCGGTCGGCTCTGCAAAACAAGCGTTTCGCTCGAGACATCCTCGGCAAACTCTGCGGAGCAAGCGTTTCGCTCGAGACATCCTCAACACACGAAAAAGTGGCCCGCACCCTGTGATTTATCGATCGGGATTTCAAAAAACAAGCGTTTCGCTCGAGACATCCTCAAATTTTAATTCGCCGGCCTCCTTCGACCTCGTTATTTATCAGGGAAAAAATTCGCCGGCCTCCCTCAAGTTGGCACCGGGGGACAGGTTTACCTACTAAAAGAGAACCCTGGGCCCCCGCCCTTTCCGGGAAAATGTTTACAACGACACCGGTGCTTAGTGAAAACAAAACACGAAACGAGGCCGCCATTCAGAGACAAAACGCAGCGAACGACGACACGAAAAACGAAACGAACAACAAAGCAGAGGCCGAAGCCAAGCAAAGCAGCGTCGTGGTCGGTCCTTGTCCAAGACCCGTTTCCCTCGGGACCCGTTCGCGGCTTGGCGGACCACGATTTGGACGCCCGAAATGGGTACGGAAAGAATGGGTACAGTGCCCAACAGCAGTTCCTGCTCATTCTAAACAGGACTCGCTGTCGGTGTCGCCGCGGCCTGTCCATTTGAGACAGAGAGCCGCCCGCCCAACAGCGGCCGCTGCTGGTTTGGGACAACATTTGGTGTTGAGCATTGTACACATTCTTGCGGGCAATATTTCTATCCATATCCAGTGCGTCTTGGGTTTTCTTGGAAGGGGCGCCACAAGGCCGAGGCGCATTGGATATGGATAGAAATTGAGCCTTTTGGAGGCAGATAATAATCCACATCCAGTGCGCCTCATGTTTCTTGGGAAGAGAGTCCGAAACTCCAAGACGCACTGGATGTGGATATAGACATTGCCCACAATTCTTTCCGCACCCCAAAGAAGGAACGAGGCCCCTTTTGACCATAAGTTGAACTTCGATTTCCCATCGAAAACACAGGGAACACCTGAGGCAAGCTGTGAAACACTTAAGGAACACGGAGCCCCTTCCCAACGAAAAGGGTTCCTTCTTCAGTGACCCGACTGTAATTACCCATTCCGGGCGCCCAAGCACGAGCCACGGGCCTCGCGGGAGCCCGGCCAGCGAAGCCCGCCCCGCGCGGGGCCCGGCTGAGCGCCTGTTCTTGTTGAGCCTCCTGCACGGGGCCTCCAGCCTCTTCTTCATCGACCTGCGCACGCCCGCTGGCCTGCTCCTCCCCCTCCCTCCACCCCTCCTCCCTCCTCTCTCCTCCCGCCTCCTTCCATGCCTCCTCCCTCCTCCCTCCTCCCTCCTCCCCTCCTCCCCTCCTCCCCTCCTCCCCTCCTCCCCTCGTCCCCTCGTCCCCTCGTCCCCTCGTCCCTCGTCCCTCGTCCCTCGTCCCTCGTCCCTCCTGCCTCCTCCCTCCTGCCTCTCTCCTCCCTCCTTCTCTCCTCCCTCCTCCCTCCCTCCTCCCTCCCTCCCTCCCTCCCTCCCTCCCTCCCTCCCTCCCCTCCCCCCTCCCCTTGGAGGTCCGCGCGGATCTCTTGGACTTGCGCTGGACCCCTGTGGCGGCGCCTCCTCCGGCGCCACCCTTCGTCTGTTCCGAAGAGAGAATGGCATCAACTTGAGCTTTCGAAAGGTCGCGTGGATCTCTTGGGTTGGCGCTGGACCCCCATGGCGGCGCCTCCTCCGGCGCCACCCCTCGTCTGTTCCGAAGACGAACAGAGCGGCATAAGCTTAGGCTTGCGAAGGTCCGCGCGGATCTCTTGGATCGGCGCTGGGCCCCAGTCCAGAGCACAAGCGAGTGGTGGCGAGGAGACGAAGCAGCGGGAGACGACGACGACGACGACGACCACGACGACGACGGCGGCGACGGCGGCGACGCCGACGCTGACGGCGACGGCGGCGACAACGGCGACGGCGACGGCGACGGCGACGGCGACGGCGACGACGACGACGACGACGCTGCCCCCAGCCGCGGGCTGGGGCGCGGACTCGACGGATGCGATGCAGCAGTTCTTCTTCGGGCCCTGGCGCTCCCCGGCCGGCGGCGGGAGCGGGCCCCCGACCAGGGGAGGGCGACGACGAGGGCGGCGGCGGCGGCGGCGGCGACGGCACCCGTGCGCGGCCTGCGGGGGCCGCGCGCCTCGCCCCCGCAGGGGGGGCGGAGGCGCGGCGGCAGCGGCGGCGGCCCGTCGGCCAAGCCACGGAGGCGCGAGGCGCGCAGAGGGCCTGCGCGCCCCGCGCGCCTCGCGCGAGGCGCGGCGTGGCCCCGCGGCCGCCCGCAGCCCTCGAGCCTCCGCGCCTCTGCGCCGCCGCGCCGCGCCTCGTCCTCCTCGTCCTCCTCCTCCTCCTCCTCCTCCTCCTCCTCCTCCTCATCCTCGTCCTCCTCCCTCCTCCCTCCTCCTCCTCCTCCTCCTCCCCTCGTCCTCCTCCTCCTCCTCCTCCTCCTCCTCCTCCTCCTCCTCCTCCTCCTCCGCTCGGGCCCCGGGCCCCGGGCCGCGGCGCGCGGCGCGCGGCGGTCTTCGCGCCGCCTCGGGTGGCCTTTTCGAGCACCAGACGGGAGGCCGAGTGCAGTCGGACGTCACTGGACAGGACGCGCGAGAGGACACGAGACCCTTCCAGGGGCCACACTGCCACAGGAATGCGACACAGGACACGAGGGTACCCTTGATCTGGCAGGACACGATTGATGCGAGGCATGGGTCGCAAGACACAGGACACGAGGGCACCCTTGATCTGGCAGGGTCGACCTACCAATCCGGGCCGCCCGTTAGGAGCGAAGGGGCCTTTCTGGCCACGGCGAGCCTCGGGCGGGCCGAGAACCATAGCCCCGCCCGAGCCCCGAGTGGTCCTGCCAGAGAACAACATGCAGTCGAATGCAGACGTGTGCAGATATTGCACCCGACGCTCCTCCTCCTCCAGGTGCTGCTGCTGCTGCTGATGGTCCGTCCTCCTCCCTCTGCTCAGACGGAGCCAAGACGAGGATGTAACCGGGGGAGGATACGCCGAGAATCTCTGAGATCCAGCCGTTCTGGAGGATGTTTCGGGCGCCGTGGCCTTCTCAGAGCGTCCCGGAACGCTCCGAGAGCGTTCTGGAGCGCTCTTGACAAGAGTCATCCTCGTCCTAGCCCCGTCCGATCTGCTCCTCCCCCTCCGTCTCCAAGGCCATGCCAACCCCTGGGCGTGTCCCAGGGCGCGCTCTGAGCAGGATCCCAACACGACGAGTCCAGCCGTGGCGGCAGGGGGGCTCCTGAAAAGAGACAAGCCCGATGTTTTGGCCTCCGGCGGCCAGGTGGCTGCACCGCAGCGTGCACCAGCTGAGGCGGGGCGCCGCTTGGCTCCTTCACCACCTGGCGCTGGAGACGGGGGGTCGGGATGAATCTGCGGCGCCCAGAGGAGGGTATGGGGGAGGGGGGGAAGGCTTCTTAGAAGGAGCCTGCTTCTTAGAAGGCGCTGGCCTGACGTTCATAGACGGAGCCCGCGCCTTCCAAGGAGCAGGGGTGCTTCTAAGACGGGCCCCCAAGACGTCCCAAGAGGGCTCCAAGACGGTCCAAGAGCCGTCCAAGAACACCCAAAGGGCCGCCAAACGGCCCCATCAAGCGCCCAAGAAGGTGAACACGAAAGGCAATTCGAGCCTTCCGACCCAAGAGGGCCAAAAGAGGCTCCCAAGAGGCTCCCAAGAGGCCCCCAAGAGGGCCGCGAAGCAAAAGATATTTTCAATGTTTTGGGGGTTCTCGCCTTTACAGCTTCCGACGCTCAACGACGACCCGAGATGCCCCCAAGGGTCCCCAAGAAGGCCCCCAAACGGCCCAAGAGGGCTCCAAGATGGCCCAAGAGGCGTCCAAGAATGCCCAAGAGGGCCTCCAAATAGCCCAGGATTGGGAACACGAACCACGCCTTCAAGCCTTCTACCCCAAGAGGCCCCCATTAGGCCTCCTTGCCTTCTCTGAATGCTTGCCGCCCAGAATGCTGCGCTGGCACGGTGGCGGAATTACCAGACGCAGCTGGATTATTTCTCAGAGGTCCGCGCGGATAATTGGATCGGCGATAGACTCCCCTCCCTGGCGCGCGGAGCGCGCTGGGGGCGGCGCTGGAGGCGCCGTTAGGTGGGCTCAACGCCGATCCAAGACAGCCGCACAGAGCTCCGAGGCATTCTGCTTATGCCGTTTCCTGGGCCACCTAACTTCGCGCGTCGCGCCCCGCGATGCGCGACGCGCGGTTCTCTTCGCGCCTTCGCGCCGCCTCCCTGACGAAGGGCGCCTCTCTGACCCAAGTCGCAATGCGCGACGCGTGATCATCGTTGCGCCCCTCGGGGTGGCCTAGATCGTGGTTGCTCTTCGGATAGTATTTCTCCTCCTCGCTCCTCCTCCTCGCTCGTCCTCCTCGCTTCTCGTCCTCGGTCCTCCTCCTGCTCTTCTTCTCATTCGTCTTACCCTTTTTGTCCTATTACTATTACCACTACTATTATTATCATTAGCATTTTCAGTACTCGTATTATCATTATTAGTAGTAGTATCGTCACTCCTCTTATTAGTGTTAGTGTTATTAGTGTTTGTATTAGTAGTATTATCTTTATGTGTATCGTCCTGATTATTTTTCGTACCAGATTAAGTATCCGTATTATTGCCAGCACTATGGTTACCATTAGCATTAACTGTTGATTATCATGAGTGATATCATCATTCGTATCCTTATCGGTGATCGTCTTTTCATTAATATTACTACTATCAATAGAACTAGTAGTATGAATACTTGATTACTCATACTATTGTACCAGCGCTTGCAGCATCATCACTACTATTCGTATTATTATTGCCCTTTCTCGCCTTGTTATTATTATCAGTAGTATTATTACTATTAGTATCATTATTATCATTATTATTATTACTATTATTATTATTATTGTGTTGTTGTTTCCTCCTCCTCCTCCTCCAGCTCCTCCTCCACCTGTGGGTCCCCGCCCCCCACCTTGGCGACGACCGTCGTGCTGCCGCGGACGGGCAGCTGCGAGCCGCGCTCGCTGCCCGCGGCCGCCAGCTCCTGCGACCTTCGGCTGGCGCCCGCTGGAGGGCTGGCGCGAGGGGGGCGGGCGGGCGGCTTCGGAGGAGGGCGGCGGCGGCGGCGGCGGCGGCGGAGGAGGAGGAGGAGGAGGAGCAGGAGGAGGAGGAAAGGGAGAGGAAGGAGGAGGAAGAGGAGGGGGAGGAGGGGGAGTAAGAGGAGGAGGGGGGGAGGAGGAGGAAGAGGAGGAGGAAGAGGAGGAGGAGGAGGAAGCGGCGGAGGAGGAGGAGCGAAGAGGAGAAGCAGCGGAAAAAGGAGGAGGAGGAAGAGGAGAAAAGGACCAGTGTAGACCCAAGACGCATCAACGATGTTGCAACCCGCCCCCCTCCAAACTCCCTCTCCGTAGGCTCCTGCACGGCCTGATCTACACTGAACGAAACGCCCCGTTGGAAGATAACCGTTTGGAAATCGGGACCTGTGCCGAAACGCCCCCACTGGGGCGGGCTTCAACGCTGCGCATCACTTTTACTGTTGCGTCTTGACCAGCCCGACTTGTGCCAGAACACCAATTTGGGGACTTCAACACCGCGAGTCAACGAGAAAGTTGTGCCCTGACATTCGAGAGAGCGCGTTTCACGGCCGCTCGCCTTGGAAACATTCGGCGTCGCGTTTCGAACCGGGGGGTGGGCCCCCCCCCCAACACTCGGCGCCGTCGATCAAAACCAGAGGGACCCCCCTCCCCCCAAACCCCCCCTTTCCCGAAACCGCCCCCCCCTCCCCTCGGCGCCAGCGCCGGCGCTGGCGGCCGCCAGCAACGCCGACAGCGGGGACGCAGCGACGATGACCAGAGGCAGCTCAAGGGGGGGGGTTCAACCCCCCCCCCTGGCGCCGGCGCCAGCGCCGGCGCTGGCAGCGGTCAGCAGCGCCCGCGCTGGATTCGGCGACGGCGGGGACGCAGCGACGATTACCACCACTACCACCACAACCACCACTACCACCACCACCGCCTCAACCCACCACCACCACCACCACCACCAACCAACCCACCACCAAACCGCCACCACCACAGCCACAGCCGCCACCACAACCACCACCACCACAACTCACCATCACCACCACCACCACAAAAACCCACCACCACTACCACCACCGCCCAGTCTACCGCACCACCACCACCACCGCCACAACCACCACCACTACCAGCAGCACAACCCACCCCACCACCACAAACCACAACAACACCACCATCACTGCCACCACCACCACCACCACCACCAGCACCAACTCCACAAACCACCGCCACCACCACAACCCACCACCACCACCACAAACCACTACCAAACCACCACCACCAAACCACCACCACCACCACCACCACCATCACACCCACCACCACAACCACCACCACCTCAACAAACCACTACACCACCTCCACCACCTCCACCACCACCGCCACCACCACAACCACCACAACCCACCACGACCACCATCACCACCACCACCACCGTCATCTTCGTCAACGCTCTCCGCCGCCGCCGCCCGCCGCCGCAGGCACCGGCGCCGGCGCCGACCCAAGAAAGGAAATCGTCGTCCCCGCCGCTGCCGCCAGCCGCTGTCGACGCAGGCGCCGGCCTGAGGAGAGATAGAGAACAGAAGCAGGGGAGGAAAAGGGGGGGGAGGGGGGGTTCGAACCCCCCGCCCCCTCCGTGAAGGGAGGGGGGGGGTCCGGTTCCACCCCCCCCCGTTTCCAAGCGACCACAGAAAGCGGTCTTTCTGACATCCCTGCATCGTGCCAAAATAAGTTCTTGGGACGTTTACCATGAAAATCCTTGAAAATCTTGCTTGCAAGAGTTCAAGACGAATGCACGCATAGCTAAAGCTATAGCCACATTTTGAAAAACGAACCACCCTCCATCTGCGAAGCTCTTGCAAAATTAACAAAAACAACGAATGCACGCTGAACAAACACGAGAACCACATTCTGAAAATGGACCACAATCCATCCGTGAATGTTTTACAAACTCCTAAAACGAATGCGCGCGGCGCTGAAGCGAGAGCCACATTTTGAAAAGGACGCGCGATACTCTTGCAAACATTTTAAATGATTACGCGCGGCGCTGAGGCGAGTCACATTAAACAACGAGCCGCGCTCACGCTTCAGGACCTGGTGAGGAGATTTCAAGCGACACGCCCGGCCCGCCCTCAAATGTCGTAAAAATGTTTATCAGCTGACTCCTCCTTTTCCGCCTCTTCCGGTACATCATCTGCTGGTTCCTTCTTGTCATCGTCCTCCTTGTCAGGCGTGCCCTCTTTGTTGAAGTGCTTGTCGAACTCGGTTTCGACCAACTTTAGGAATAATGGGATCAAGGTCAGGTCGGCCATTCTGTCTTTCTGATCGCTGGTGTACTTATTATTATGAATAGATACTTCGCGGCGCCATACAGCAAAACTGGAATCCAGAGCGTCCCTGGTGTATTCGTGGTTGTCGTCGGCAAGCATGCTGGCATAGAGTTGCTCGGCTCGCTCCAGCTTTCCATCCATCTGCTGCATGTCAGTGTAATGTGTTTAGAGACTATATCCGATCTTCTGACCGAGGTCCGAGTTCATGTTCCTATGATCGACTCAGCAAGGGCAGCCTTCGGCAACATTCCAGTATGATGTGTAGACACCTGCTCGCAACTAATCAGAGCCATGCTGCGACGAAGCATAGCATGCTTGTCTATTTGCTGCTGCTCGGTTTGTCCATGGGGAATATATTTCGAAATGGTTGTCTCTATGTGTTGTTCCATGTTCCCCATTCTCTCCATCAGCGCGGCAATCCGCTCAAGTAATTGAGTCAATTTAGAAGTAATTTTGGATTGGACAGGCAAATGCAGTTCCCTGTCAGCGGAGATTGCGGGCAGGCCACACCGAAAATCGCACCACACCGCCATTAGCCATGCTTGCTGTGTGGAGAATCACTATGTTCGCTAGCCCCTATCCCTGGAACAGGGGGCCCCAAACTGCAAACATGAATGTTTGGAGCTCCGCGCGGATTTCTTGAATCAGTGCTGGGCCCCCTATTCGCTGGCGCGCGGAGCGAGGCGCCGCCAGAGGGGGTCCCAGCGACGATCCAAGAAATCCGCGCGGAACGCAAAGAAAGTATGCAACAGCTGTCGTTCGTTCTTCGAGAGATGGCCTCACGGAGATCCGATCGGGCCGAGGGGCGAGGAGGAAGGAAGAGGAGGATTAGGAGGAAAAGGGAGGAGGAGGGAGAGGAGGAGAAGGAGGAGGAGGAGGAAGAGGAGGAGGAGGAGGAGGAGGATAACGAGAAAGAGGAGGAGGAAGGGTGGAGGGGGAGAGGAGGAGGAGGAGGAGGAGGAGGAGGAGGAGGCGGCAACGAGAAGCGCGAGGAGGAAAAAGAGGACGAGACTAGACATTGAAAACGGGTGGGAAAATTGACGTCCTCGTTTCTCGGATGTATATAGCGGTGCCGAACGATGTATAAGAACGGGCGTGCGGGGCTGCAGCCTAAACGGCAGCAGTAACCCCAACACACCCCCTGTTGTGCTACAGATTCTGCCTGATACTATACATGCCTTATCTAGATAATCCACCGTTCGAGAATGGTGCTCAAGCGGGCTCGTCGTGCCCCGTTGGTAGCACAGACGCGAAACGTCCAAACCACCAGCAAGACATCACGAACATACTAAACCACTACAGCTCTGGAATGGCCTGACAACGCCCGAAAGGATCATCCGGTCAGCGGCGGGGGCCCTCAGGGGGATGATGATGTTCCTGTCTTGAATTGGCCAGCCGCTAAAGTAGTTACAGCGCTGAACAGGACAAGGAAAGGGTTCTACCAACCACCCCTCTTATCGAAAATTGCACTCATAGCAAATTGATTAGACGGAGCACGCACTCAATAACTCACATGCTCAACCGTCCGAAACCTGCTGCGCCTCGAACGTGGTTCGAGGAGGCAACCCACCCACCCACCCGCTGGTATGCTTACAGCGCATCCAACCTTCACGAACACACATCGCGACATGTAAGCCCTTGCGCTTCTCTCCATGATGGACTGCGTCGCATTCGCGAACACAGTTCGTGACCGCTGCATTCGCGAACGCAGTTCGGGAGATGCGATGCCCAGTGGTTTCGCCAGTGGCGTCATCCTCGTTGTTGGCAGGGTTGCTGTGCTGTGACCTGGGCACGGCTTTCTTCAGCTTCTCCTCGCACATCTCGACGGTGTGGTGATCGTAGCCGAACGAACAATTCATGGTGCTCAAATCCACTCGCGGCCGATGCTACCTTTCGTCGCTGGGTGGGTGCGCATGTCTCTGGTGTCGCACTCGCGCCACAGAATGTCGTCGATCTGCTTGGTGCGCAGCTGATCGGACAGGCACCAGAAGTGCCTGGCCATGATGTTCTCTGATGGTGGTCGGACAGGGTCCATGGCTAGGGCTGCAAACACGGAAGCGCCGTCGACCGCGAGCTCGGCCGGCGGCACGGCGAAGTCCCCCTCCTCCGCCAGCCTTCTGATCTCCTCGGCTGACTCAAAACCAAGCACCATCTCGTGGAGGGTCCCGAGGTGGACCTGAAGTCCGTCTGCTGTCCCGCCGGCGGCGAGCAGCCCTGAGCCGAATGAGGATCGACGCGCAAGTTTGCGTGATCGGCTCACGGCGTCGAGCCGGAGCAAACCTCCTCCCCGATACTGCGACACATGCGTAGACGCATATGCACGGCGCCTCGCATGCCGCATCCCGTCTCCATATCGCGCTTGACCGAGCCGTCGCTGCGCGCGCAGAGTCGACTGGCGCACTCCATCGGCGGGAACGCGATGCGCGCCTTGATCTTCTCAGTGGCGGCCTCCCGTTGCATCGCGCGCCTCATGAGTTGCTTGTCCTGGAACCTCTGCAGCGCGACGGCGCGCACCGCAACGCGGCGTTGCGCGAGCAGCGCGCAGGCGGTTGCTCCGAGAAGGGAGACGAAGGGGTTTGGAAGTGAACCTCCTGCCGGCTCGTCGGCCTTGAGCCTGGACCACGTCGACGTTCGCGACGGGGGTCAGCTCGTCGATGTACTCAACCTGGTCGAGAGTCACTGCACAGTCGGCACTGCAGTCATTCTGGACGCTGCAATTGGTGAAGTCATCGCTGTCGCCCATCATTTTGCCGAAGACGCTCTCGATGTGGCCGATCAGCTGGCCCGCGTGCTAGTTGCGTCCAGCGATCTTCAAGTCGTCGACGCGCTTGGAAAGCGCGGGCGAATGATGTTCAGCCCACAGGCGCCATAACTGCCGGACGCCTCGTGCTTGACCTCGAGCTCCGGGCCCCGCAGCGTCGGCGCGGCGTCGCGCTCTGGCGAGCGCGTGACTCATAGAGAAACCCCCCGGGCGCATCTTTGCGGCCCGTGCCCGGCTTGATGCAGCGAAGGGGATCGGCCCGTTCGTCGAAGGACTCGCGGCCGGGGACCTGCCTGAAGACGGCTGCGCAGCCGGGCGGCAAGGTGAAGTTCACCTCGTGCGGTGCTTCGCCCTGCCCCTGCATCCCGGCGCAGGTCGCGCCCTGCAGGAACGCCTGCTCGACGCCCACGGCGACGCGCACCCGTCGCCTCTGCAGAGAGAATGCGGCAGGGCCCCCGCTTCGCCAACAAAGGCCTCCAAGGCCCCAACGCCCATGTCACGGAAGCCCCTCGGCGCATCGCCATGCCGCGCCAGACGATCCCGGCGGCCCTGTCGCCTGGCCCCATTCGGCGCTTTCACTTGAACGCGCGCCTGGAGCCCAGGGCGTTCCGAGCGCCTGCGAGAGGTCGTCGCTCGAAGCGCCTGCACTTGGCCCAGACGGCGGGCTCCTCAAAAATGACCGCGGCCACCTTTGGACACATCATCTTTGGCAGGGAGATCGGCGCCGCGCTCGATCGCCGCGGTCTCGGCGGCGGCGAGGACCTTGAACGCGGCTGTCGCGGAAGCGCCAGCAACAGAAATGCTGGGCTGCTCCTCGCTGCAGCGCTTCTCGCGCCCCGGTGCCCAACGGCACCCTTCTTCATCCTCCTCAACCTTGGCGTAGTCGTCCAAGGAGGCGCCGCGCATGTAGCAGTGACACTGCGCGTGGATGTACTGACGCTGGTGCTTCGTCTCCAGGTGCCGGGGCCGCTCGTGGACCGCGGCCCATGCTGGCGGCCGCGTGCTCGACGGCAGCGTAGACCTTCTGCTGGCTGCCGGTGATCTCCAGCTCCTGCAGCTCCTGGGCCAAGTTTTCCGCCCCTTCGACTCCCTGCCAGGCTGCCATCATCACCTGCTGGGTGTGGCCAGAGAAATCGCTGTTGGCATCTTCAGGCATCGCCGACAGGGCCCATGGTGAACCGCCCTCGGCGACGCCAGCGGCGCCCTCCGGGGCCCCGATAACGCAGTCATCGCACGCCCCGCCCTGGCCCTCCCTGGCGTCGGCTGCCAGCGGCTGTTCGCCACGCAATAGGGAATGGACGCTGCGAGCGTTCTTTCACTGCTCGCGCGAAGCCGTGGGCGTCGAACTTGACGCCGTCCATCTGCAACTGGCGGACGTCGCCTGGGGCCTGAGGGAACCGCCGGATGCGGGCGCAGCCCGGCCAGTCGCCCACATATCTGACCGCGCACGAGACGCGCGGCACGAATGTCTGGCAGCTGGAAGCACTGCCCAGCCTGCTCGGTCAGTTGCCTGCCCTTCTCGCCCTCCCAATGGCCGAAGGCTCCAGCTCCTGAGCCTGGAGCGATGTGCCCCGGAGGTCCTCCGCGCGATCTCAGGCCGGGCCTGCTCGCGCCACGCCAGTGCCCGCGTCGTCGAAGATGGCGCCAATGACGGCCCATGCGTCCTGAGGTCTGCAGACCGTCTCGGCATTGCGGTACTTGGCCGCAGCCATGCCTCTGGCTGGGTCCACGGGAAGGGCCGCGCTGGGCCCTGCCCAGCCCGACGCGTCTTTCGTGCCAGGAGGCCTGTGGATCTCCACCTGGTCACCAACGTTGAAGCGTCCTTCTACGGTCTCGGTAGTGCGTGTCTATAGGGTTCGGCTAAAGCGGGCGATCGAAATAGCGTCTATCATGCGCTGCAGGGCGATCTCACGGATGCACCACTGCAGTCGGCGGAGCTGCATTTCGCCACCAGCAGCGGGGCCGGCGCCCGCAACGTAGTCGCAGGGTACCTCGCCCTCCTCGTCTGCTTCGAGCGGCGGCAGCATGCAGGGCTGCCTGCCGAGGATGACGCTGCACGTTGCGATGCCGCCCGCGTGGGTGAGGTTGTTGCCCGCGAAGAGGGCGCGGGCCAGCATGAAGTTGAAGTTGACGGCGATGCCTTCGCGCTCCAGCGGCTTCGCGGCCGCGCGTACTGCGCGTCGCAGAGTTGCGCGCCGTCGCCCCATGAAACGAGCGTGCTGTCGTGGAGCTCGGATGCCCACCCGCGCCCGTCGCCTCCTCATCTCCTCCGCGGAGCACACGGAGGTCACCCCGATTTCGCCGCCCTCAATGGAGGTCTCCATCGAGCCGAACGGTTGGATCCACGACCGGTCAATGGCCACCAGCAGCGTCGAGTCGC